AGCAAGGTAGGTAAGATTGTAAGACCACTCTTGGACTGGCCTCCTGCCAAGCTACGGTGATTTTAAGTGATTTTTTTTTCACTTCCTTTGTAACACAGAACTTCTCTAGGGACTGGGGCTACCCACTGAGGGAGGCCAGGAGAAGTAGCTAGGAACTGTTTGCGGCCTCCCTAGAGGAAGTCCTTTCATTTCCTTTAGACTTTGTAGGGCCCTTGGTGAATGAGTTTCTCCCTGGGGCCTGGAGTCCAGAGCCCAGAGAACTGTCGCTCCATAATGCCCATTCTCCTCCAGAGCAGGCACTGCCCTCGGGGGCCTGCTTCCCCAGTGTGACCTGTGCAGTCACACAGGGTCCCCTGCTAGAAGGACCTTGCTTTCATGCTCTGCTGTCTCTGTCCTGAAAGTCTTGACGCTTGAACAAGAGGCCCAGCGTTTTCCTCTTGCCCTGGACCCCACAAACTATATAGCCAAGTCCTCTCTGCCCCGAAGAGTTTCTGAACACTGGGTGGGCCTTGTTCTTAGTTTCTCCCCCTGCTGTTATTTGAGAGTCCACGTCACTCCCCACCCTTGAGTCCCACTAAATGCAGTGGTTCAGTGGCCCTCAGACTAACTCTGTACTCTGAGGATCATTCTAGAGATGTTCTCCTACCCTTGAAGTACCGATGTCTAGTAACAGGCATTGCAGGTAGTGTGCAGTGAATTAAGGCAAACACAGCGCAGGAAGGCAGAAAGCCTCGGCTTCGGTGTCAGCTGAGGGAAGTGACAGGAATTCTGACCTGTCTCAGTTTCTTCACTAGTGGGCTATTGCTCTAGAATGTCTAGAAAAGCAAGAGCAATAGAAATTCTCTGAGAAAGTTCATAGTTCCTCATTTCTTTAACTTAAACTAATCCACTCTACCAATCCTAATGTCACAATATTGAGTGGATTCTATTGATGATCTCTCTCTCTCTCTCTCTCTCTCTCTCTCTCTGTCTCTGTCTCTCTCTGTCTCTCTCTCTCTACAGTGCTTTATATGGAAATGCAGGTAAGATGTATCCCCAATTCACAGCTCAAAACACTGAGGCTCCAAAAGTATAATTTGGAAATTACTGCAATTAGAATCCAGGTTTTCAGATACCTGGTACAATGTTCACATTTCTGAAAAGGTGCGTGTAAACCATTTTGTTTTTTTAAACTCCTATTCTGGGTGAGTACAGAGAATTAGGGTTTCTTCACAGTGGCCCTATTGGCCTCCTGAACGGTATAATCCTTGGTTGCTGGGGGCTGTCCTGTGCCCCCGGGAGGTTTAGCAGAGTCCCTTGTCTCTACTTACTAAGTGTAAGTAGAAATCCCCTGTAACCCCCCACCGCCAGGTGTGACGATCAAAAAAGTCCCCAGACATTGCACTTGTCCCCTGGGGAGCAAACCACAGCCAACTGATAACCACTTCATGAGAGCACTTCACTATTTAAAGGGAACATGTGGTGAATCCTTTAGTAAACTACAAAACTCTCTCCAAATGTGTATTTCCACGTAGTAGATTTTCTTAAATTAGAAGATACCTTCTTTCAAAGGAGAAAACCACTGATTGTGGCTGTGTGGGGGTAATCACCCAGAAAAATGTGATGCTTTTCTTTTCCCTCAAAATATTATTATGTTCATGGGAGTGATGCCACAAAGATTCAGCAGAATATGCTTGCAGCATACAGATCGGAACAGATGTAACTTTAGCAAATCCAGCAATTCCTCTTTAAGAATTAGCTACAGTCAAGTATCTGAGAAGTCAACTGTTTCCAGTTATCTTTTCATTCCCCTAAATACTCTGAATTCACTTTTAGAGCAGGAAACACAGACCTTCCTCTATCTAAAGGAGTGTTAAAAAAAAAAAAACCCTATTTCGTTTTTTAATGTTTATTTTTGAGAGAGAGAGAGAGAGAGCGAGCAGGGGAGGGGCAGACAGGGAGACAGAATCCCAAGCAAGCGCCACACTGTCAGCACAGAGCCCAACGTGGGGCTCAAACCCATACACCATGAGATCATGACCTGAGCCAAAATCGAGAGTCACCCCACTAACTGGGCCACCCAGGTGCCCCCCAAAATACCCTCTTCCTAAAGACAGCGAGGGTCAAACCCCAAGCTGACAGATTAGGGAACAGAAATTAAGAGGTAGAAGTGGCAGACAGATAGGAAGTCTTCTATCTGGGCCTTGAAGCAACCCGTAATCCGCTCCCTGCCTCAGCTGGATAGACCAGACGGTTTAACACCCAAACCAAGATACTCTCGAGCGAGAAGAGGGGCATTGGTGATGATCGTGCTGGGACAATGCACATCAGCCCAATTGTCCTGGCCAAACCATGATGCCTAGGGTGGTCACCCTAGCCTGAGATCACTCATGGAAACACGCCCACTGCCAGATGGTTGCTACGTTAGTGAGCCCCAAATCTTAGTAGTTTAAAACAAAATCATTTCTCATTTCTCACCCCTTTGCAGGTTGGCTGTGGTTCAGCTGATCTAAACTGGGCAGCTCGGCCACAGACTGCAATAATTGAGAGGGCTCTGTGTCTCACTTCGGGTCTGTGAGTCAACTGGGCCAGTTCTGCTCCACCCGCCATTCATCCTTCTCGGAACCAGAAAACTATCTGTTATGTGTACTTCTCATGACACCCACAGAGGTGAAGACGGTGAGCAGAATGCCATGAGGCTCCTTAAGACGTAGGCTGGAACTGGCGTGCTGTCGCCTCTGCCCACATGCCACTGGCCAAAGCAAGTCACACTGCCAAGCCCAAAATTAAGGGGCAGAGAAATATGGTGCTCACAGTGAGGCCCCGATAAAGGTACGAATGCGGGAAGGAGTGAATAATTGGAACGCTCGTTCAATCTAACATACATGCTTCGCCCGTCCCAACCTCATCACCACCACCCCCACACATACACACACCTCAGGAAAGGGGGGTGGGTAATCTGTTTGCCCTCATACGATATGACATGATGCTGACTCAGTTCCTGACATACAGTCACGTAATTTTCAGAATCCAGAGTCAGTTTCTAGTTTCAGAAGTACTTTGAAAATTGGACAGGTTTCCAGTTGAGTATAAAAACCAACTGGCATCCAGAATTCCTCAATAAAGTTCTCAAATCTGTTAAAGCATGCAACCCATCCCCAGCTAGGGCTGGGGGGCAGGGCCAGTTTTAGGCTGGGGGCTATTTCCCCCAGACTTGCCAGTGCTATTTCACAGTGACAGTTCCTAACCTTCCCAGAGGGGTAAAAAAGGAAAAAAAAGCATACGTTAATAAAAATATCAACAATAACATCTTTGGGAGGTAACCTGGAATAATTCACAATAAATTAACACTTCCCATCAGAGAGATGTTGTAGCTTATAAGAATGTCACTTTGCGAGAAGTGGGAGTCCCAAAGCCATGTGACTTCCATCTGCAGTTTGCAAGCCCATTCAGAGCCCAACAGGGGATAATTACTTGCTAAGATGTACCCATCCCAGCAGAATATATTTGCTATGATTCAGTTGTCTCACAGCATGAAAGAGACTCTGGTCTGGTGGATAAAGCCCTAGAGGGATAAAAAAAAAAAAATCTCCATTCCCCACCACTTGGCTGTGTGACCTTGAATCGTTCACTAAACCTCTCTGATTCCTCAGTTTCACAGTCTACGGGAGTAACGCCCCAGACCTACGCTTACCCAGAGAAGAACATGAAAAAAGAGTCACTATCTGAAAAGATCTGGAACCCTATTTGCCTCTACCCCTAGGAAAAGGAACTGTTTCTATGTTCGTTTCTCACCCTGGACACTCAATATAAAATTACTTTTTTAGGAGCAGAATTAAATATCAGGCAGATGCATCACGAACTGAATTTAGGGGGATAAGTTACTAAAGTAACAGAAGGATCTCACCATGGAGCAGCCTACCTCTAAGAGACCCGAGACAAGACCATTCAGCAAGTTGCAATGGGCCTGTGGACATTTCAAGAGTGAAATGATTACCACTCACAATTCTCAGGGAGCAGACCTTTGGGAAGATAGGGATTTTAGTGGCTATTGTGGTTGTTTCCCAACTCCATGTCTCCCTATCCCACTGTGTGTCAATCATGTGGTTTGGAGAGGGGTAGGGAAGAAGTGACCCTATGGATAGGGTATAATCTGATGTCCCCTTGCCATAGTGAGTGGCTCAGGTAGTTCAGGTCTAAGGATGACATTACTTGACCACAGGATTCAAGCATGAATGTTCATGTGATTCCTTTAGAACCAATGATATAACATGTGATGCAGATGTGAAGACAAGACATGCCACAGACATTTTGCCATCATACGGTGGGCAAAGAAGGAGAAAGGAAAATAAATTAGGCCTTTGATACAATTTTTGAACTACTGAAGCTAATCAAGTCTCAAGCAGTCTTACCTATGTCCCTTCCAGATCTGTAAATCAATGCATCTCCCTTATCATTTATATTAGCTTTAGTGGGTTTTGTCTTAGCTGAAGCATGAACATCTTAACTGATATAGGAACTGAGTCAAGGGCATGGTCACCAGCCCTGAGAATACCTAAAGGAGGCAATGTGAAAGTGCTTAGTCCAGAGAGAAAAAGTTGGAATGAGGTACTAAAAGGGAAGGATCATCTCCAAGTCATTGTGCCCCCAAATAGCTCCTAGAGATATCTTCAGGGCAAAAAAAAAAAAAAAAATGAGTTCTAAACACCCTCCTCATCTATAAAAAGCAAGCAGGGTGCCTGGGTGGCTCAGTCGGTTAAGTGTCTGACTTTGGCTCAGGTCATGAACTTGCAGTTTGTGAGTTCAAGCCCCGCATCAGGCTCTGTGGTGACAGCTCAGAGCCTGGAGCCTACTTCGGATTCTGTGTCTCCCTCTCTCTCTGCCCCTCCCCCGTTCATGCTCTGTCTCTCTCACTCTCAAAAATGAATAAATGTTAAAAAAATTTTTTAATAAAAAAAATAAAAAGCAAGCCAATCTGAAAACAATTTAAGATAAACAATTGCTTCTATGGCCATGCTCACCTGGTGTGACTATCTTCTCCTGGAAGTTGCTATGGATCCATTTCTGGGCATATCAAACCCAAGTTCATAAGACTTCTCCTCTGAGATACACATAAACTCCCATCAGAAGCAGTTCCAACTAGGCCTGTGCCTAGAATTTCAGCTCCTCAGGGCTGTGGATTCATTCAGCAACACCAAGGTTGGCATCTACATAGAGGACTTCTGGAAGGGCGGTATCATAGAAAAGATTGAAGGATAGAGAAGTTAGATGGAAGACCCAAGCTCTCTTAGATGTCAAACCCAACCTGAGTCTCCAGATATGACTGGACTCTATTCTTCCCAAGAATCCAGGAATGAAAATGTAAGAGACAGCCATAAAGAATTGGGAGTCCCTAAAGTAGTTCCTTGATGAGAATTGTAGGCTGAAGGTTAGACAGTTTTTCCTCACCCTAAGATAATCCTGACTCACGGAATCATAGGACCATAGAACATGAGAGTGGGAAGTCTTTAGAAATCACCTTGCTCTATCTTCTCGTTGTGATGGCATGGGACTGAATCTGGGAGAAGGAAAGTACCTTTTTTCAGATATTTGAACACCTTCCTCTGTACTTGGTGCCTGGTGCTTAACTATTTTCACAGCACTTACCATGTTACATTGTCCTTGCCACTGAATACATATGCTCCTTCTCTGAACTTGAAATTCATTGAAAGCAGAAATTGTCTTTCTTCCTTATATCCCTGGTGCCTCCCAGAATCTGTCAGATAGCAGGTGGTCAAACGTTTGTTCAAGAAATCAAAGTTTCAAGTCAAATAGTGAGGAAGTTATCTTTCTATTAGGCAAAGGATATAGAATCTTGCTTTCATTACTTTTAAAGGGTATGGCAGTTTCCTTCCAATGAATCACAATGATTTTTGTCATTATTTTCCTTATTTACAAGGTATCAAGTTAACGAGTATGAGGATTAATGTATAGTTAGATCTTTTCTCCGAAGTTCACTGGCCAACATTCTTTCTGCTTCTCCAAGAGCCCTATCCCAAGCCTGAAACAAACAGAAACCTCATGAAGAGGAGTACTATTTTCACTTTCATATTGTAAATTTTAAAACTTCGTATTTTCCTTCTGCCTCAACATCCCCACAAACCGTCTGTGAGGACCCCACCCAGGTGACTGGGTGCATCACTGTGACAAGGCTGGCCCCCGCCACAAGTTCCCCTAATTGCCCTCCCCTGACTGTGACCTATTGTCATTCAAATGTACCAATGAAATCACCTCCTGCATGCCTTTTGTTTGTATGTTCCAACCTGATAAAGGCACTTGCCCAAGGGGCAATCTCTCTCTCTCTCTCTTTCTGTCTCTCTCTCTCTCTCCTCCCCATTTGCTTGGCTGAGCACACACATTTGCTGCTCCCCCACCCTGTGTGGCCTCCATTCATGGCGTACAGTGACTCCGTTTCTCTAAAACTTGTGAGGATAATAAACTTTATTTTCCTGTGCCTCTCCTGTGTCCTCTCTTGCAGCTACACCTGACTAACCATTTCACAAAAGAACACAACCTCTCAGTAAGAACTGCAATGAATTATTTTCTTGCCAGGTAATTCTGAATCCAGCAGAGATACCTCTTAACCAGAGAGAGAGAGAGAGAGAGAGAGAGAGAGAGAGAGGGAGAGAGGGAGAGAGGGCGCTGGATTTGGGGCTTAGTTGGCAACTTCTGGCGGCTGTGATGCTTGCTACTACAATCTCTAGCTCCTCATTGGAAAAACAAAGATGAAGTTCAAAAAGCATCTCACCGCTTTCTTCCGTGAGGGATTGAATGCAAAAGAATTTGCATGTATTATACGGACTTTCCAACCAACAGCAATATGCCTAGTTCACCACTGTGTCCCTGCTGGCTCAGATGGGACTAATCCAATTCTGCCAACAGCTGCAACTGACAGCTAAAAGTTAAAAAAGTGGCAGCAGATGAAAGAGAGGAAAACAGGTAATGGGCAGGGGAGACTGAAAACAGAAAGGATAGGTGCCCATTTACAGTGATGAATGCAATGGAGGATTTTCAAGTGCACGGGCATTGAAATGCCTTTCTTCCTCTCATCTCTTGTTACTCATCCAGCCCATTAGTCTTCAAGCCAAATGACACTGAAGAAGGCCACAGATCTCTTCCTCCACCTCTTCTCTTGGCTAGCCAAACATGGATGGGGACCTGTTTGCTTTCAGGAGGGAAATGAGGTGTGTTGAAAGCTACTCCCTCCATCTGAAATGTAGTGTCTCCCCACCTGAAATCACAACTGAAACTCCTCCTTAGAGTTATCCTCCGGTCAAGGCATTGAAGGCTTCTATTAAAATGCAACTATGTTATCTAAAAGGAGGAACATGTAGTGCCTGGCACCGAGTAGAGGTTCTCTAAACGTCATTTTTAATATTAAGTTGTCACTGCCTGCCATGAGAACGTTAGTAAAGATTCATCTACCAGATTCTCTCCTGTCTCCTAGGGCTCTTAAGGAACCCTGATGGGAAGAATTTGATGGAACACAGGCCAAGACTTGGTAGCAGAGTCTGAGGTTTGGGGGATGGTGGAGAAAGGGGAGGCTGACAACAGAAGGTACTTTTGGGGAGAAAGGGCACTTTTAAAGGGTGAGAAGGGGGGAAGGGCATCTGGAAATTAACATTTATTGATTCTTCTATGAATCAGGCACTGAATTAGATGTTTTAGCACCCACTATTTTACTTAATCCTTATTTAATCCACAACCACTTCATAGGGAAAGTAACAGTAATATTCCCACTTTGCAGATGCGAAAACTGGAGTTAAGATTAAGAAAGTCGCTCAAGGTCACACACTGCCTGTATGTAATAGAATATAGACTTGAACTTAGACCTGTCTCCTATGCCTATATCCCTGAGCCATGCTGTCAGTCCCCACACTCGTCAAGGGGTGGCTAACCTCGTCTCTGCTGCCTCCTTTGGTCTAATGCTCCAATCACTTGCAAGTTCAGTCTCCTGTCATGCCCAAGTTTCTCCCTCATTTTTAGCAACGGACTATGCAAATGGAGATGAAAGATTCTTAGGAGTGGTGGGGCAGAAAGAGATTTTGCATTCTCAGAAGGGATAGAAGGTTGGCAAGAGCCTAGAACCATTTTTCTGGTTGCCTGAGGGTTTGGAAACTTTCTTTACTCTTTTTTTTTTTAAATTGTTTATTTCGAGAGAGAGAAAAAAAAAAATCAGGGGGGGGCGGGGGGCGGGCAGAGAAAGAGGAAGACAGAGGATCCAAAGCGGGCTCTGCACTGTCAGCACAGAGCCCTATGCAGGCCTCAAACTCACCACTTGAGATCATGACCTGAACGGAAGTCAGACGCTTAACCAACTGAGCCACCCAGGTGCCCCTAGAAAATCGCTATTCCAGGCTCCAACCTGTGTTATGCCAAATCCAAAGTTCCAGAGTAACTGGTGGACCAGTTGGGCCCCTGCCCCATGTATACCAGTTTGCTGTACATTGGCAGGAGAGTTCATTTTCCACATAGAGCAGGAGGAGAGGATATGAAAAGGAGAGCAGCTGGCATGGAAAGGAATAACACTTGTCTCTTCCAGAGAAGCTGGGGTAGGAATGAAAGACATAGAAGATAAGGAAGCTTCTTTCCTCCCACCACTGGAGAAAGGGGTTAGGGAGAAGAGTCTAAGACGTTCATGCACAATATCTTGTGGAGGGGACCATCCCCCAACAGAGGTCCAGGCCTGCTGCCTGACTTGGAAGGTTCTTTCCTCCCCTTAGAGCAAGGAATAAAAGAGGACTGGGGAAGAATTGATAGCCTCTGGGGTCATGGGGGCAGGGGCCCAGGCTGCTTTGTCCAGAGGCTACAGCAAGGGAGCAAAGTAGCTGGGGACAGTTTCCCCCAACCTTAACTTCCAATCCCCACCCGTACCCTAGCTCATTCCCACACCTCTCTCCTCCTTTGGCCGGTGGGACTGAGCGTCCTTTTCATTAACCTTTTAGTTACCACTCCACGCACACACTTTTCTACAACCCCCAAAGCAGTCAGCCCCACACTGCCCATCACTGCCCTCTCCCCGCGGCAATCCCAGCTCTGCACTTGGGCAAGGGGAGATACTCGCCTCTCAGGGCCGTGGGAGTGGAAGGGGGGTTGTTCACTCGCCCTCGGAGCTCTGCTGTAAAAACTGAGCGGCAGGGACCAGGCATGCGCAGCAAATTCGGGCGCATTGTGATGGGAACTGCCTCTCCGAGTCTCTACAAAGACTCCGGAGTAACCACTAACGGCCCCCCCAAGACCCCCCTTCTTAAAGACAGACACACAAACGCAGAGGCAATGCAGCTTTTCTTTCTTTTTTTTGAAGGGCCAGTTGCCGCTTGAAAGGCTAGTTCCACGTGAAGACTAGTGGATTTCTATCGATCCCATCTCCGGTGTTGACAAACGCCAGCGCCGAGGCTTTGCAGTCCGGGGCTGCAGTTTGCAGTGGAGCTAAGCGGTGTGCGGCTTTAATTCCACGTCAGATCAACTTTGATCAATATCCCCCTACCGGCCCAATTGGAAGAGCCCAATTCACCGGCGCTGAGCCTTTTCGCTCTTTGCTTCTTTTTTCCCCTCTTTAGACCCACCATCTTCTGGGGGAAGAAAAGTCTCGGATTTTCTTTAGAATTTCTTTTCTTTCTTTCTCTCTCTCTCTTTTGTTTCTTTGGGTTTTGTTTTGTTTTGTTTCTCGGTGTTCTGTCTTTTTTGTTTTGTTTGGTGTTTTAGGTTTTTATTCTCTCTCTGCCTCTCATTCTCTCTCTCTCTCTCTCTCTCTCTCTCTCTCTCTCTCTCGTAGTGATAGGGAGAGAGATCGCTTTGGCGAACAGAGCTTGCAGCCAATGAACCCGCCTTCCAGATTGGTGTGAAGACAGAAGTGAGGTGGGGGGCGGGGAGGGGGTGTGAGAGAGCCTGGGAGCGAGAGGGAGCAAGAAAGGGAGAGAGAGCGAGATTCAGAGAGAGAGAGAGAGAGAGAGAGAGAGAGAGAGAGAGGAGGCGGTGGAGGAGGAGGACTAGTGTGGGGTGGAAAGGAAGAGTGAGCGAGAGCAAGTTGAGGGGAGGGGGTGTAAGAGCCGGCGAATTCTTTTTCTTTTTCTATTATTATTTTGACGACTCCTGAGTTGCGCCCATGCTCTTGTCAGCTCCGTTTTAGGCGTA